CTTTGTTGTTATTGGATTGCGTTACTGTAGGAATGTAACTTGTAGTCCATTGTTGCAGGTCAGTACCTAGATTCTCGAATATTATCATCTTAATATTATAAAACGTATACCTCTGCTGTCGAATAACAAGCAAAAATTAATACGAMAGTCATCTATAAGCACAGAACATTTTTTTAGAAGCCGCTAAGGCCTATCATCTCGGTAACGCTCAAGTGCGAGATTGTGTTACAATAGGTCAAAGTAGTGCTTAGAACTCTTTCTCTAGAAGTAAGGCTTTTAGCGGGCCAAGTTAGAAATTTTGTGGTGACTAACTATGATAGTTGGGCTTCAAGGGAAAATTATTTTTTCTGTAAAACTGTATAGCGCATGGGAGAATTATTGCATTGAATTTGCCCTTAATTCAATGTTTTCTCTAGCGGCTCCGAACTGCCCTCAGCATAGTAAGAAAATAAAAATTATTAAAACGTCTTTATAGCTCAAATTATATGTGTTGATAGYTTAAACATAGGTAAATCAGTTGTGGGATTTTCAGTTTCCAACGGCCTTTCGTCAGGTCGTGAGCGATCATCAAAAATGCTTCATTTTCCACCCATTTGCAAGGCCGCCAGACGCCGTCGTACGGGAATTTCAACTTTTCTCAATTTCGCCAAAAATAAAAATCGGCCAAACTTTTTAATGCTATTTTCGAAAATAGTTTACCATAAGGGTCTTTTGGGCAAAGTATGGAGAAATTGAATTTTTCACAGTTGTCCGACCATTCTCGATTTTTACAGACAGTCGCTCTTAAGACTTATTATAGATGATACACATAAGGTGGCCATATCGACAGCATACGTTTTATTCAGATTATTCAGATTTACTTGCGATCGCAACTTATTAACTGTAAATTCACATGTAGGAACAACCAGGGTTCGTGCTGAGATATTTACTTAAAACTGAAATTCAAAGGCACCCAAAAATGATTTACTTACCCTTTCCAACTCGACACTGGGACCATCCGCCATCTTGCGCTAGACGTATGCGCGTCTTTCGCAAGTTAATAAGTCGCGATCTGAATCAAATCTATGATGTCGATATGGCCCTTCTGGGCCACCGTATATACACTCCCTTCAGCTAGGTTTATTTATGTATTCCATTGAAAAAAAGATATTTCTTAACGTTTTTCTTAGGATGTTCTCAAAAAAATGTCAAATTCACTCCTATTCCACTAGACAATGTAAGAACTTTAGACCAATTTTTTGTAGAACAAATATCAAACAATTCAAAGTTGCTAGTCAGGGACCAAAAGTTTGGAACTCCCTGCCTTACCAGGTAAGATCAGCACCCTCATACATATTTATATACAGCCATTTACAAAAATTATGGCCGTTTCAAATATAAATACAAGTATGTCGAAAGTATATCAGACAGGGCGGAATATCTTTCTTGATATTTTTTTTAAAAGCCCTAGTGATAGACAACTCGAAAAAAATATAAGGGAGGCTATCCCATAATTTTTGATATGAATTGATATATTAGTATATATATTGGAAGCAGCCATAATTTTAGCAATTGGATGTTTATATATATATCTATATATATCAAAATCCTTCTTTCATTATGCATTCTTGCAATTAAATTTACATAATTATCTTTTGTATTCTTTTTATTCAATTTTCTCAATAGTAATCACTTGGATGGAATAATGATTAAATAAAAATGATTGATTGATTGATTGAATTCACGGCGGGCCTGTGGCAGTGAATAACCGGTACGTTCGCCTGGCCTTTTGGTCAGCGGTATTGCGCTATAAGACTAGAAATAATTTCAAGATGGCGGCTCTGACGTTGATGAGGTCATTGAAAAAGTTCTTAATTCGGACGACGTAGATGAAGGAGTTGAAAATGAAGATAAAGAAGAAAAAGATGATGTTGAAGATAACATTGATTCGTGGTTGGAGAGTTTTTCGGCACCGCAAGCGTTCAATACAAAGCTTTTTAGGGATCTCGCAAAAGAGGTTTTGAAGCCCATCGTGCAGCAATGCTCAGTTWGCTGCAGTCATGGCGAGTTGCAGCCTTCTGAGCGTTCCAGAGGTAAGTTAGCATTTCTAGAAAAAGAGTTAATGGTAATTGGATGGTGCAGCATTTCGGTCCCAAAAAAGACTATTGTTCTTTAGTACTAGTACTGTAGCTCATATTCAAAACTGTTGTTTATTATTTCATGCGTGTGTGTTTACACTGCAATAAGTGTTGTTGTTTTTTTTTCTCGTCATGTGTGCTATCAGCTAAATGGTTTATATAACAAAYTATTTCCATTCCATTCCAGCTGCACAATATCTCTGCACTGCAACACTCAATGCTAATTCGATACTGTACAGTGAAGCTTTGCTATGRCTGAAGAGAATTTTTACTAGGCTTGGAGGCAGGGTTGAATTCAAACAACCATACCATGGGAAAACATCTCGCAGCATTCCTTATGATGTGTTCAAAGTAGCAAGACGTGTGGTATCAGAAAACAGAGATGGTAGCTTCTATGAACCTAGATGTTATATCAAGCACAACAATAAAGCTGAAATAATCTGTTTCACCTCTTTGTACTCTTTCAAGAAATTTATGTCTGTAATTTCTGGATTAAGTATTAAAGATGTACARCAATACCTATGCCGAGAGCTAAGTTCCAAAGGTAGAGAACACCATGTTGTTAAACTTCTGGTGGAAGAAGAAAAACAGCTTGCACTAACATACTGGATAAAGAAAGGGCAACTTGACATCACCTTTGAATATGGTTAATGGAACACAATGAACTACCCAATGCACAACTGTAATTTCGATCCCGACTCTTTTTTGTAATGATGGTCTCAGTGTACAAGTGCCACACAGTTTACAATCAACTTTGTTTATAGAGGGTAGCACATAACAGCTATTTAGCTGACAAACCTGTGGCCTTGCCCTCAACGTCTATAGAGTTGAAAGGGACGGGACCGCCATTACTAGTGAAGCAGCGACGTGAAGGTCTAACGATTTACAGATGTTATTACAAAGGCACCACTTTCTCCTCAGTTATCTTAAGTCTTAAGTTACCCTGAGTGTTGGTCTGGCCGGGATTTGAATCCAAGACCTCCCGCACGGAAGTCCGGTGCTCAACCAACTGAGCCAACCTGGTGGCGGTATATTATGAGTGTGGTTAGTATTTGAAATGTCTGAATAACACATGTTAAATCAGGCAACAGCAAACTGCTACATGATCTCCCTAATTACCATTTCTGTTTTCTGATACTATGCCTGGAAAAGACCACATGTGAACTATGGGATGCAAGCAGTCRACAACCTCACAACATTTCCCTCAAAAAGCTCGCGATTCAATTCTTCCAGCAGGTATGAACCAGCTATAAACGTTACAGTATGTCGAAAAAAA